GAGAGAAAGAGACACAACGAGAGAGAGAAAGAGACACAACGAGAGAGAAAGAGACACAACGAGAGAATAAAAGACAGAGAGAGAGAGACACAACGAGACAAAAAGACGTTAAGAGAGAGAGACGTTGGTCATTTGCCTCCCTTAGCTTGTCATCACAACTTATTAAAACACAAACGTGTTTCGATCCATCAAGTAAAACTGACAAACATCATTTTTACATTCACAGCTTTTTTTTCTGCTTTTGTTTACTCACATCTCCGTCATGGCCTCGGGGAGGTGGGCGGGGATGGCGGTGAGGCCCCTCCCTCGACAGTCCACGATGTTGTTGCTGCAGGAACACATCGGAGGACAGGAGCCGGACGCCAGGCTGCACGGCTGGACGAAGGCGCTGCCGCCGCCGTGGCCTGAGCACACAAACACAGACAAGACGAATGTTACAGCTCCCACCTCCCCCGCTACACTTTGACCTCTAATAGAGCGATGACCCGCGCGGAGCGGCCGTACCCGAGCAGGCGAAGTCACTCTTGCGCAGCTCGGCGAGGTTGAGGCCCCTCAGCGTGGGGGGGGAGCTGCACTGGGTGTAGAGGCCCAACGCCGGCCGCTGCCGCAGCCATGGAGACAACCAGGCCAGGTGACAGTCGCAACGCAGAGAGTTGGAGTGGAGACGACTGGGAAGAGAGGGAGAAAGAGGAGGGATGGAGGGAAGTAGTGCAGGAGGGAGGAGGAAGGGAAGAATAAGACAAAAAGAGGAAATACGAGAAAAGTAGCATTCTGGGTAATGCTGTGATAGCACTCACAAGGTGCGGAGCTTCGGCATGTGGTTGAAACTGGAGACTGGGATGCTGCTGATGTTGTTGTTGTTCAACGTGCTGGTAGAGACAGAGGAGACAAAAGAGAGAGGGGGGGAAGATGGAAGAAAGGAGGAGAGGAGAGGAGGAAGAGAATGGATTAGGAAACACCAGGATATTACAGGTGCATTTCAGGTCAACGTTGACTGATACTCACAGAACCTCCAGAGATCGCAGAGCTCTGAACGCCCCCTCCTCGATACAGCTGATGTGGTTTTTATCCAGCTGACTGGTGACAAAAACACCACAAACACAACTTTACACAACTCCTGTCACACGGGTTTAGATATGTGGAAGCACAGCGGAGTGTGACGTGAATGTGTCTACACAAAGTGGACATGCGGAATGTTAATTGTCTTTGTGACGAGCAGATTGAATCATTATCTCACTACTGATTTTCTTTTATCCATTATTGTTATATCCGAGTGTGTGTGTGTGTGTGTGTGTGTGTGTGTGTGTGTGTGTGTGTGTGTGTGTGTACTTCTTCACACACAGGTTTTTCAGGTCCGCAGCTCCTCTGAACGCTCTCCTTGGGATGGCCTGGATGCCATTTTCACTCAGGTCCCTGAAATAGTGGAGAAAAACAATCGAACATTTAGTTTTGATTTTATTCAGAAAGATTTGGCTGCACATGGTTTTTGTCGTAGTAGCTGAGACAACAATATACGTGATGTTATTTTGAAACACAACACCACACTGTCTAGTGACACTGTAATCACTCGTTTCAGGTTTTTGCGATGTAATTTTAAAAAAAGGACAAGAACAGTGTGTTTTCCATTCGTGATTAAAAAAAAACCTGAGAAATGAATAATAATGAACAAATAAAACCACAAGGGTTTGATGGAAATAAGCGTTTTCTATTTGTGTTTGTTTAATTGTCGTTAAAGCAAATAATGAGAAGAAAGCTTCTTTATATTCTTCTTCATTCTAACACTGAGTGAGAAACTTTTATAGAAGAAGGGAAACAATTTAAAACAGCAAACATTTAAACTGTGAATGAATCTAAAGCGACTTCCTGCTTCACCCAGCATCACTTTAATTTCAGGCTGATCCGCCTCATTAACAGGTAATTAAATGTGAATCCAAACACCGAGTCCTCTTTGTCTTAATGGAGTTTTTGCCTCCGGTTGTTTCCCCAGAGACGGTCACGTGTACGACTTCACTACAGACAGAGAGGAGAGAGGCTGAACAACAGCAGCACAACAACAGAACCGCGAGTGAGTGAGTGTGTGTCTGTGAGTGAGTGTGTGTGAGTGTGTGTCTGTGATGAACCACAGGAGGATGTAGATCATCTCTGCCCTGGAGGACCTCGGACACACTCCATTAACGTCAGGGTCAAACTACAGAGCATGACAGCAGAGGAAACACCCAATTACTGAGACCCACACTGCTGATATGATAAATGTCTCTCTGTGAAAGTGGATCAGAGCCTACAACTTCATCCCAATCTATTGTCTGTGAAATTTGCTGTTTGTTGCAAATTAGAAAATTAGAAACCGATAAACAAGTAACTGTAAGTTCCCACAGGGGCAGTAAAATGTGTAGTTACAAATTAAAATATCACAAATATAGTTTTTTCTCATAATTATGGTCTTTGCTGTCGAGTGCGGTCGATGAACATTCAGAACAGTCTCTCACACCAAATGAAAGAACTTTGTTGTGTCGTCAGAATCTCCTCAGCTTCACACTTGACGTGTGTTTTGTTCAGGAACACGTGAAGTTCCGTGTTGAAGTCGGTGCCGTTTGCACACGAGACACGTTCGATAACAGGCGAAGTTCAGGCTCCTCGTTCTGGGTCGAGCCTCACCAAGCTTTATTTACCGCGGCTCAATCACTGCAGGTCACTTCTACAGTTTCAGAAAGAAAGAAGCGACCAGCGTCACCGCAGAGCGACAGACACCGACCTCTCTCAGCTCAGAGCACGGCTCAGGCTAAAACCAGATTTGCCACCAAACCCTGTTTAGTACAGTTGTCTTGTCTGTGGTGTCACTCTGATGTGGACTCAGACCAGAGTTTCAGTACAGCTCCTCCACCATGACGGCAGCGGCTCCGGGTCACACACGGGTTAAAGAAACTATGAAAAGCAAAGTGTCTCTACATTTTTCTTCCACCCAACAATTTTATTTTATGCGCATTCAGCCTTGCAAAGCCAATACCACAGCTATAGTCCTGTTTCTATTGTCAAGCTGCATCCAGCCACTTGATGTTTTCAGTTCTCTGTCAGTCACAGCTCTGGTTCTGTCGAAGGTTCAGTGGTGAACCGGAGGTTTTCTCCGAGCGGCCAAACCCGAGTATCACAGCGAGGTCTGTGGTGAAGAGCAGCAGGTCAGCTTGAAACAAAATGCACCAGCGAGACAGAACCAGAGGAAGATAAACCAAACCTCATGACGGTCTGAGCGAAGTGATGACGGATATACAGAGCGACAGGGCGGCCACAAGGAGGGCAGGATGATGGATAGATGGGGTGGTACAGAACGTGCAGGGAGATACAGAGAAAAGCAAGAAGAGTGAAAAACATCTCTGCAGACAGAGACGTGGAAAAAGTACGGGACAGACAACGACAGAGCAAAGAGAGAGATGAGGATACAGACAGACGGAGGGATGGGAGCTCGATAGGACGAGACGGCGGAGGGAAGAGGTGAAGTCCAGTTTTTTCTGCTTCATTTCAGACAGAGCTGAAGACCAGTGAACCGAACCGGCCCTTTGGTTTTGTCTGTCTGCTCTTCTCCGCCTGGGCGCCTTGAATCGAGCAGACGAAAAACCAGTTCTGATATTTCTCTACGACACAGAGGAGCTCATGACAAACACAGCTCCACAATGCATCTGAAGGAGAAGACACCGTTTGTGGAGAACAGAGATTCTGCAGGTTTCAGTTTAACTTAAGAGTTTTCTGGTACTTTTCTTCTGTACTCAAATTACTATGATATTATATTTATTATATACTCCTCGTCCTCGCTCTCTATGTCTCCACTGTTACTACAACAAACGCAACATACAAAAAAAAAACACCGATAAATGAAACACGTGCTTATCTTCCTCTAACTATTTGCACAAAATACTTTTTTCAATCAATATGGAGTCAATTTAAAGAAACAAGAGGATAAAGAGAAGAAGTGAAGAAGAAGAACACACTCGTGGATCGGATTCAGTTTCAATCTGAGTTTTCATAAACATTGACGAGAACGATAATGAATTAATAATGATGGACACACACACACACACACACACACACACACACACAATATTGAAGATGCTTTCACATCAGGTTACCAAGACATCTGTTGCCAGGACACCAGGAAGCTGGATATGATGTTTACTGGAGGGAAACACAGTGGTCACAGCTGGACGTGTGTGTGTGTGTGTGTGTGTGTGTGTGTGTGTGTGTGTGTGTGTGTGTGTGTGTGTGTGTGTGGACAGGAGGTAGTCTCATAATATTTGCTCTCTGTCCAGTTATCTCCTCTTTTCATTTTCTGATCCGCTCTGTCGTCCGTTGTGTCCGTGTCCAATCCCCCCCCACCCCCCACCCTCTCATTGTTCCTTCGTCTCTCCTGTCGTTCTAATATCCTCCTCCTCCCCTCCCCCCTCCCTCCCTGCTTGCTGAGGAGGGTGAGAAAGGTAAACTTTCCCACTCGTTCCCTCTCCTCGTCTTTTTCCTCATCACCTCTGTGTCCGTCCATCTCGCTCGTCTCTTGGTCAAACACGGGTCAGCGTTGATTGGTCAGTTTTGCCACCGTGTTAATTTTTTCTTTTATTCTTAAATTAATCTGCTTCAACTCTTATCTGAAACTTTAAATGTTCCTTCCCTCTCGCTCTATCCCTCCCTTCATCCTTTTTATTCCTCATCCACACGTCATGTCCTCCCAATATATTTTCACCATGTGTGAATCTTTCCTTTGCCGTCCTCCCTCTTTGTCCCCCAATGTAATTCCTGTTGTTGCTTCCTTCATTACAACCATCCTTTGCTTTCCTCCCTCCTCTCGCTATCTTCATCTATCTTCCCTGAATCGTCTTCCACCTCCCTCCCTGTGAACTCTTTCCCTTTCTCCATCCACAGGGGAGCAAAGCGCCTAATTGAAAAACCCCAAAGGCAGAGGAAGGGAAGGTGACGAGGTTGAGAAGAAGGAGGAGGAGGAGGAGGAGGAGAAGGAGGAGGAAGATGACAAAAAACCCAAGGGAGAGAGAGAGTGAAAAAGAAGCAGATGAGGCGGAGATGTGAGAGTTGAACGTGTTTGTTCGTGGTCCCACTAATATTTGTTCTATAGAGCCAATACGAGACAGTGTGTGTGTGTGTGTTCCTTCCCATCATGCCTTTCTACAGCCCTCAGCATGTCAGCTTTACTTTGGAAGAACATGACAGAGGGAACATCAGTGTTCGTGGTCTGACCTCCCACACACTCACACACACATGAAGAATAACAGCTGAGTGGGTTTCTGTAAGGGGAGTGATGGTGTCGTCCTCGCCGCAGACCCTGGTGTCCAGTGCGAAGCCGTCCCCACGCGCAGCGGGCCGCGCCGCACAGACCCAGCTTCAAGGAAAACACATTTCTGGGAAAATCCTGCTCGTACGTCTGCAGCAGTGACACGTGTGAGTCCAGCTGTTCGTGTAAACATAAGAACTGCATGCGTGTGCAGATGAACCGAACACACGGACGTAGCTGTAGGGTTGAAGCAGTCACCGGTTTCCGCTCATCGACTTAAACATTCAAAAGTACCCGTGTTTCAGAAACGCACACGTGCCACCGTCACACGCTTTCTCCCTCAGACTCGTTTTCATTCAGCAGACACACCGATAAATAATCACGTCACACACAAAAACACAACACGGTTACTTTGTTGTGTGGATGCAAATCTGTGTAATTAGCACATGCACACACACACACACACACACACACACACACACACACACACACACAGACAATTAGACGGTACAAATGCTAACAGAAGCAATTATCGCACACAGTCACAGACACACCCCTGCTCGTCTCCCTCAGAAGATTAGCCAGGTAAACGTGGAGGTCACACTCCGTCGGTTAACCTCACAACAGCTGTCGTCAGATTCACACCGTTAATTAACCGCGCTCAGACGCCAATCAACTGTCGCTAATGAGGGCAGCTCCGCCACTCCGACTAATGAGAGAAGCTCTGCCAGCGTCTGAGGGGAAACATTAACACACACGCCCAAAAGAAATACATTAAAACACGCACACGCTCCCTCAGAGGTTTATTCTCTTTCTCGCTCACTGGTTTAGTCTCTGTGCCAACGACAGCATTGAGTTTTCAGGCCGTCCGTCTCGTTGTTGTGAACACGTTATCTCAAGAACGCCACTTTGAATCAAAGACGGTCAAAAGGTCACTGTCACCTCACAAATCCCACTCTTGGACTCGTGAACGCGACATATCTCAGGAACGTCTAGACGGAATATACGTAGTCTCAAAATTTGCACGCTTAAAAACTGAAGAGAAGCACGGCTCGGCCCTGACGTCATCGGAGTCAGCGAGTATGCTTGACTCCTCCCTCCACGCAGCCTTGATGGAAACTGGAGGAGAAGTGTTCAGTGTTTTCAA